GGAGCGCCGCCGCGCTTCCCAAGCGGCGCACTATCCAGTGCGCCACCGGGCTGGCCCTAGATCAATCAATATTAATACCTACTTTATAATTGTGGAATTGAGGTAATGGAGGCCTTTCAGTTACCTGGTCCAACATTTGTCTCTACACGGTGTCCTGTTCAAATTGAACCTTGATATGAGGAAAAACATACAATAAATGAGTTTGAACTTAAGCATCAGCTCCCAGTGCAGGTTGAAAAGATCTATCCCTGAAGATCATACACACACACACACACACACACACACGCACGCGCACGCGCACGCGCACACACACACGCACACAGACAAACAGCCTATTGCTGTCTTTACTTCGACTCCACCACTTTTAGTGAGTATTTACTAAAGCAAGCAACTGTGCTAAGCATACAGTGCCTTAGATGGTCTACTTCTTTCCTGATAATTCCTGCTTCCAGTTCCAAAAAGGTTTACAATTTAGAAAGGATTTCCACATACAGTATGTTGTTGTTTTCCCACAGTACCTATAGAAGAAAGGCCTGGAACATTACCCTTTTTTTACAGATAAGGAAATGGAATTACTTTCCTAGCATCATATGGCCAAGTAAGTGGCAGGAGTTTCGGTGTAACCTTGCTTATAGGTCTGAATCTATACAAGTTCATACTATATAGGTATAAATCTATACATAAAAATTAGATTGTCTGAAACTAAGATATTATTTCACAGTCAAAATTGCCTGCTAGACATATTATCTGACATCTGAAGAGCTATTCTCTTGATGCTGCCATACTTGGCTCGTCAATATTATTGAAGAAAATAATACAGCAAGTTCTTCAGCAAGCTACGGTAACAGGGCAAGATAATGCCTTTATATAAAAATGCACATGGCCACCAGGAGGCTGCCTTTTCAGAAAATTAATAAACTAAACCCTAGATTTATGAGTGTAGCTGTTTCCAAAATTTTTACTTAAAGGCAAAATTGTACAGGTAACCAATAATTCATACTACAATTGATGTAAAAGTGTCAACGTATCCACCAATGGAAAAGCAAGAACAAGCATCAAGCTAGATGCACCAAAGTATTCACAACTGTATGTTCATTGTTGCATTTTCTAGCCCCTAGAGCAGGGCATAGCACATAGTAGTGCTTAATACATATCTGTTGACTTAATGAATGAATGAATGAATGAAACATAGTAAATAACTGAAAACTATTCTGTTATCTCACTAATAGCAGGTAGACATTCCTGAGCAATCGGCCAACCATTTTGTCATTGAGTCCTGCCAATGAGTGCCAGTGAGATGGTTCTTTGTAGAAAAGCTGATGGTGCAGGATTAGGTTGTTCCCAAGACCCCTTAAAACCTCATGAGTCTGAGTCTAAGAGCAGCAAGGTAGTCTGTTTCCCCTACATTCTCCTGCTGTGCCATTGACTATTTCACTTACTCCAATTACAGGTACCTGTGACATAAAAATCATACCAACTTGACACATTTTAGATGTTCTAGCAAAAAGTAAAATGGGGAAGAGGCCACTACTGAAAACCAAAGTGAGGTTTAGGGATAATCTGTATATATTACTTGCCTAGGACTCCTCTGTGCCTCTCCAAAATAGAAGACAGAGTGAGTTCTAAAGACCTAGCACTAGTGAGTTACATTTTAATTGTGTTTCTTAGCCTGTGCCACCCCTATGTGAAAATACTGCTTCATCTAGAACAGCAGTTCCCAGTTTCAGTTGACCTTGTGTGGGCTGGTCAGAAAAGCATAAAGTCAATATGATGTAATACGAAATCTTGGGCAAGTTACTTAACTTCTCTGAGCTTCACTCTTCTTTGCCAACATGGCAGTTACCATTTATTGACTGTTTAATGTTGACTGGTTGTTTTGCTAAACAGCTTATAAATATTGGCTAATTTTACTTTCAGTCTTCACATAAGTACCAGGATATCAATATTATTATCCCCCATTTTCCAAATGAGAAAATTGAGCACAGAGATATCAATTAAATTGCCCAAGATCAAATAATTGGTGAGTAATGGAGAAGGAATTTGGTTCCACTCGAAAGCCTGTCACTCACACATTGTGCCATGCTGTCTCCCATTGATAAAAGGGAGATATTTATACTTATCCCAAAGAACTGGTGTGAGAACTTAACGAGATGGTAAATGAAAAGCACCTTGCCAGTGCCTGCCATGTAGTAAGTACTTAATATGTGACAGTTATTATTAACATGATGTGTCCTTGAGCTGACCCACATCCAACTGGAGAATGTGAGTGGGAATGTGAACTAATCATGCCTAAAACCCACCAACAGCATTTGCCCTGGACTCATTGTGTGGCATTATACAAGATGAGATGGCCATTATTTATGAGGACAACTCAGAAAAAGGCAATATATACTGCAATACCCTAGGTTTGGCAATGAACCAGCCAAACCTGTCTATGTGCTAAAACAAGTATTATAATCACTTAGGGGAAAAAAGTTACTACCTTTGTTCATGGGAGTAAGTGAAGTAAATCAATCAAACTGATGCTTATATAGAAAGCTGGCTGGTTGAATTTGTCACACTTGAATTAACTATTGTAGTATCATATAGACACTAATAATGTAAAGGAACATAAGCCATAGCCAACATTCAAGAATCAAGCCAGACAGCTGTCATTCCTGTTTTGCATATGGCACCAAAGTACTTTGTATCTCACCAGCAAAGCATAATGGTTGAAAGTGTGGGCTTGAGATTGCCTCAATTAAGTCCCAACTACACCACTACTAACTACAAAACTTCAGCAAATTCTTTTTGTGGAGCCCAGTTTCCTTAACCAGAAAATAATAGTAATGGTGTGTTGTGTACTTTATAGGATGTTGTTAAGTTTAAGAGAGTTAGCATATGTAAGCATTTAGAACAATGCTTGGCATATATATAAACATTATTTTCTATTTGCTATTTTTATATTCTATTATTTTTATATTCTATCATTATAGAATTAAGTTAATTTAGTATTAGAAGTTCTTAGAGTAGTGCCTGGAACATATTAAGTACTTAACAAATTTATTATTCATAGTATTATTATTTTGCATTGTAAGCTCATGGAAGGCAGATATTCATAGTGTTTCCTACCTAGTAGGAGTGCGATACTTTTTAAAAGAATCAGTGAATCAAAGAATGACAATCAAGACCACAGAAATGCAACCTGGGCTCTCCATCCTGAGCGATGAGCTCTTCTGCCCAATGGTATATCCCACCATGCCTTTTACCCAAGGAGCACTCCTTAAATGGACACTGACTGCTATTTTTTCTGTTCCTTCAGCTTGCTGGTATGTTTTTGTCTGCGGATGAAAACTTTCTTCTGCTCTTTCGCCGGGAAACCCCCTTGGACAGCAGCGTGGAGTTTATGCGGGTGAGTGTTTGATCATGTTTCTATGTAGAAAGAAGATTGAGAGGTGGCCTGGATCCTAGCCACCTGCTGTGGCTGCTACCACTCCTGCCCAGTCCCCAAGGGAGAGCTGCACACAGAGGAAAAGATGAAGCAAAGAATCCCTTAGTGATGAGCCAGGACTTTGGGCCCAAACCCCAATGTGCTTTCTCAGCCTTGGTCTGGGCTGTTCCTGAGCTGATAGTCTCCTTTAGCTTATGCTGGAGGAAGGCTTAGACTGGGGGCCAGGCATGTGTGCTGAAAAATACAAAGGGAGGGTGGGAGGGGTGGAGGTGGGGAACTGGAGGCTGGACAGCATGTGCCCCATCTAAAGCCATTAGTCCTGTGGAGCTTCAGCAAACTGTTGCCTTTTGTGAGTCTTGTCTAGAAATCTAGACTCTATGGGAAACTACCTATTTTTAAATGTTGGCAGCTAATTCTAGCTTTGAAGGCATGGTCCGGTAAAAACATAATTTACTAGAGTGTTGATCCAGCCACTGGGTCTTCTGTTTGCAACCACTGGGCTCAAGTAAAAACTAAAGGCAGAACCAATGGCCCCTCTAGTCTCTTTCCCTGTGGGGTACCCCTCCCTCAGCCCCTAGGTAATACTGCTCTGTTGGTGAAGAAGGACCAGAGAAGGGCATATTAGGGGTTCTCCAAGGCCAGAGCAGCAGATTCTACACAGCTACTGCACCCAGGTTCCCATTCCTGAAATAGTTACCACATTCCCGTTTAGGAGATGATACTTAGCATTCCTTTGCACTATTTTGTTTATCTTTATGTAAAATTGGACAATCACATGCATAGGTAATTCACAGAAGAAATCTGAATGAACCATAAAGATATGCCAGTAACCCAAGAAATGTAAATTAAAACAACTAATTTTCTTACTAAATGGTAAAGATTGGGCTGGCCTGGTGGCGCACTGCTACAGTGCGCCGCATAGGAGCGTGGCAGCGCTCCCGCCGAGGGTTCGGATCACACGTACAGACCGGTTCCCGCTCACTGGCTGAGCGAGGTGCGGGCGCATCACCGAGGGTTGCGATCCGTTGCCGGACACGAAAAAAGACAAAAAAGGAAAAAAAAATTTTTTTTTCGTGACCGGAAACGGATCGCAACCCTCGGTGATGCGCCCGCACCTCGCTCAGCCAGTGAGCGGGAACCGGTCTGTACGTGGGATCCGAACCCTCGGCGGGAGCGCTGCCACGCTCCTAAGCGGCGCACTGTAGCAGTGCGCCACCGGGCCGGCCCTAAATGGTAAAGATTTTAAGAAGATCCACAAAAATATGCAATGCTGGCAAGGAAGTCTTGAGATTGTTCTTCGTGCTCTGTCAGTAGGCATGCACTGTGGGATAATTTTATGGAAACTAATTCTGCAAAAATTCAGTCAGGATGCTTTAAAATTTCATTATCCAGAGTTAATTTTTTAAAAAAATTTTACCCTTTGACTTAATAATTCTACTTCTTCAGGCATCTATCTTATGGACATAATCAGAGATACAGACAAAAGTTTGCTATACAATGATGTTCATTAAATGTTGCAATGGTACTTACAGTAAAAAACAGTAAAAAATAACACAAACATCTAACAAAGAAGAAAAAGTTAGGTAAATTATGATACATTCATATGATTCATTCATTCCACAAATACTTATAAGCACTGCACTATTCCAGGCACTGTTCTAGGTGCTGGAGATTCATTAGAAAAAAAACCCATCATTGAAAATTAGGTATCACTAAAGATCAAGTTTTCAAAGAATATTTAATGACATGGAGAAAATGCAATATAATATTAAGAAACAAAATTATATATGCAGTCTGTTTTTAACTTTGTTTAAAAAAGCACTCACCCTAACACCTGCATAAATAAGACAGTAGGTAAATACACAAAAGATAAATATTGGTTGTTTAATTGTGTTTTAAAATGCTCACAGAAAATTTTAAATGAAAATAATAAATAGATCACCAAGTGTATAGATAGTATGACCTCCAGTTTGTTGTGTATGTAATAGAACTATGCTGGAAAAGAAACACATAGAAATAGAAATGATAAGTAATTATCTCTGGGGTAGGAATTTTTAGAGATTATAACTCTCTTCTACTTGTATTTCGTTAATTTTGTACAATAAACATGATTTACCTTTTTTTTTTTTTTGGGGGCTGGCTGATATGGGGATCCGAACCTTAAACCTATGATTTACTTTAATAATACAAAAAAAAAAAAAAAAAGATACTAAAATGTTAGGCCTTTATAATATAATAAATGTTTAGTCTTTAATAATTTTGAGAAATATGAAAAGGAAATGGCACTAAAGAGCCTTCCTTTTTTTAAAAGAAAAAAATTACATTTTTTTCCCTCCCTTCTAGTTTGTCAACTTATTCTGCAAAAAGTGCTTTCCCCTTCTCTACCCAATTTTTTTTTTTATATCATTGTGGATTCTTGAGTTCTTTTTTAAAATTAAATTTGTTATAACCCATTAATATCCTATATATTTTAAGAAATTTTAAGTTAATGTCTTTACTTTTCCCCTGAACCCTAGGACCTTAACACACTTGAACTCTTAATACATACCTACTAGCTTACATGCCACTATTGCCCAGAATATCAGTTCTACCTTGTTTCTTTGACTCTACAAATTTTATACAGCCAAGATTTGTTTCAATTTGCCCACACGTTGACTTCTTTCACCATTTCTTTTTGTTTCTTAATTCCCTTCATCATGTGCTTCCTTCTTCCTAGAGTAAATCCTTAACTACAAGTCTGAGGGTAATACATTCTGTTTCTGTTTGTCTAGACTTTGCTTTCATTCTTTAAAGATAGACTTGCTGATTGTTCACGTAAAAATCTTTGGTCCTCCAATGGCTCAGCTATAGTAAGACTATAAGATAATTTAAATAAAAAAGGCTCGGAGAATAGTATTAAAAAGCATGTAAAATGTGTTCTTTATTATTTAAAATTCTCATAGTTTTGGTATATTCAACCAATAAATGTTAGAAAGTAAATCACATTTAACTCATTGATTTTGTAAGTCTGGTAAACTTCAGACATAAATGACAGGGACAGCATCAGTGTCAACACTTCCCACTCTCTCTGCCAGGTCTGTGGTCAGGGCCCTGATTGTGGTCTAGAATGATGGTCCCTTCAGTTGGTAACACAGGCGACTCATTTAGGATCTAAGGAAAATCTTCCAACTAAAACAAAACAAAATAAAACTTAGTGCTACTTTTCCTTTTGTGCAGGAGTTAAGGAGCTTGCCAGTTGATGTGAGGCTTGTCCATGGAATAATCAGAGGTGGTCAGAGTAACAGCATTTATTAAAGAAAGTAGTTCAGTGCTTTCCTCAAAGATTTTCAGCTGTTCTGTCTTCCAGTTCAGTAATTGTATCTTTAGCTCTGTGAATGCTGGTTTCAAACCGGTGAGAAGTATGGCTTAGTCATGGTGAATTATCAGAAATATTTTATACACTCCACCCAGACAAAGCCAAGGCCACACAGGCAAGATTACTTACGGGACTTTTCTATAGTGTATCTTTTTTTTTTTTTAGTCACTCTTTCATTAAGGTTTCACTTTTTGGAATTTTAGTTTTAAGTAGGTGCCTTAATCTGATTTCCTACCTTGTGTGGGCCCCAGGATTTGTCCCGTCTACCAGGTGTGCAGTTTTCTGATAAAGCCCCAGGCTGTGTTGCCAGGGACCAGATATACCTGGGACAAGCTTTGTTTTCAGTCCTACATTAGCTCTCCGGGTTTATGCTTTTCTCTCATGTTGGGCCTCTCAGAAGTCCTCTCTCTTTCTTGTCAGCTCAATTATATATTTGAAGAGTTGTTTTTATAGTAACATCCTGCATTTTTAAGTATTTAATACAGTGAAGGTTTCTTAGTTTCCCATATTGTCCCAAATTGAAGTTCATCTCTTCTTATCTTTCCATTCTGAGCATTCTTAAAGAACCCTTTCAATGAAACACTGTGATCCTATTAAGTGGCTCCAAGTGGAAGCAATGATCCATTTCCTGTAAGTTTTGCCTGAACAATTGCTGTCACCAAAAAAGCCTAAAACTTCCTATAGAAAGTCTCTCTTTCTCTCTCTCTCTCTTTTTTTTTTTTTTTTGTAGCTGGCTGGTGTGGAGTTCTGAACCCTTGACCTTGATGTTTTCAGCACCATGCTCTACCAAGTGAGCAACCAGCCAGCCCCCTTTCATCTAGTTAAGTACTGTTTTCAGATGCGGAACCATAGCAGACACCAGCGTAAATCAATCCCAACTTATTTGAGGATAAATGGATTGACAACTTTTGTGTATTTCAGATTTGGCGCAAATATGATGCTGACAGCAGTGGCTTTATATCAGCTGCTGAGCTTCGTGTAAGTGTCACTGGGAAATGTCACTGGGTAAAGGGCAGGTTTGTTCATCGTTGGGAATTTGATATATGTCTATCATGAGTTTGATTTCCATGGGCCCAAGAAACATGGATTTGAATTTGTTAATTTTTAAAAAAATGTTTTCATGTTAAAAGGTTTAGAAAGTGCGGTTCACATCGTTCTCTCTGGAAATAGTCGAGCACTTATGATACTTGTTTTCATGCCTGGAGCTATCTATCCTCTGGGTTCCATGAGCTCCCTTCAAACAGTGACAGCCCTCCATTCTTGGATTTATTGCTTGCTAAAAACATTCTATTGCCTCTTTGAAGTAAATGAACCACAATCCTTAAAATAAAGCCTCTCGAGACTTCTGCAGTTTATTTGTTCACTATATACAATGTGACTCTTCTCTTGGTGCCACAGAACTTCCTCCGAGACCTTTTCCTCCACCACAAAAAGGCCATTTCTGAGGCTAAACTGGAAGAATACACTGGTACCATGGTGAGTAATGTAGTGTATGATCTCCACAAGCACCTTACTTGCTACTTCCCCAAGGCTCAGAAACAGTGTCTGGCACAGGGTAAGTCCTGGAAAAATGTCTGCAGGCTAAGTGGGAAAATGCATGAAAAAACCTTAACTCTGGAAAACATTGGCTTGAGCTGTTTTAGCCTCTCTCTGGGCCAGATTGCACGTATTTGAGAGACAAAGCTGTTCACTTGTCCTTGGGGAGGCCTGGAAAGTCTAGTCAACATTAGGTTTCTAAGCACCAGTCCAGTGACCTTAATGTTAATCGAAGTCACATGGAAACAAGTAAACATGGACCTAGACAATCAGGACCAAACAAATGGATGCTGCCTATCACCAGGGCGGATGACTTTACTTGCTTAGAGTGTTGATTTAGTGCGGTGGTGAGTCACAGATGGAAAACGTGTGTTCCACCTCTGCCACGGACTATCTATGATCTAGGAAAACTGTCAAGCCTCCTAAGTTTATTTACTGCTTCTGTAAAATGGGTATTGATAGTCCCTAACTACTGTGCAGGCAAAGTGAGTTGATGAATATGAAGACCTTTGCATACTGTCTAGAGCATACTGGGCTATACATGTTAGTTCTCCTTGTAGTAGTTGTCGTGGTCCATGTTGTCATTATTTCACATTCCCTAAATGGCATCCTCGTAACAAATGACCCTGAGACTATTTCAGGGTCAAACTCCCTGGAAAATGCTGAAATAGGAGAAGGTGGCTTCGGTGAACTTGTCCTCATATTCTGTTTCAATACCTAACCTGACGCATGTTCTCTCACTACTAGTCAACAACTTGCATTGAATAGGATCTGGCTGCTCTACCTTTTGCCTTCCCCTAACCCCCTCCCATCCCCAGGTGTGTGCTTCATTCCCATCAAACTCTGCAGGTTTCTTAATTAGTAAGCAAGGATTCTGCAGATAAAGGCTTAATTATGAGCAGACTCACCTTACCCAACCTTGGGGTGAATAGTTAGGGATACATGTCACTGAGAAGCGTTTGTGGATTCCTGTTAAAATGTGTACCGCTAGGTTGATCTATTTAGGCATTTAATTGGTGTTTCCAAACGCTCTATTATTTCTAACAACTCTACAGCGTTGGCATTGTTCCTGCTATTTTATGTATCTGATGACTAAGGCTTAGAACGGGTAAGTGACTAAGTCACCATCAAGTTAAATTCTTGAACTCATTTGAGAGATCAGATAACTGAAAAAAAGTTAGGTTATCCAGCCAAAGCCACCAGTTAAACTGGAAGCTAAGCTCTCTTGGTTTTCAGCCCTGAACCTTCCCAGCTCTCACTCTACTACTCTGAATGCTGCCCCCCATCAAGTGAGTGTGCCCGGGAAGGAAGAAATTGCTCTTGACCACGACAACTTGTAAATGGCCTGGAGAGAAGAAAAGATGATGTCTAGGAGAGAATCAGATCCTAGGACAGAATCTCAATTAAGGAAATAATTTGGCTTCTTAGTATATTGATTTGTTTTAATAGCATGCAAAATAATATTCAAAATCCAGAGTAAATAGTGCTCAACACTAAAGAGCAAAGTGGGAAATCCCTAGAAGCGGGAAGCAGTTTTCCAGCTTCAGGAAAATCCCTAGGTTCCTTTCAAGCTAAGCTCCAGTGAAACCCTCTAGTAGAATAAATAATACGAAAAAGGAAATTAGACTGAAACTGCCTGAAGGAAAGAACAAGGAGGTGTTTTTTCTAGTTGAACATATTTTAAATATTGATTTAAAATGTGATTTAGCACTAGCTATTGTTATCTTGATTTTATTGACTTACAAAACATGAACCACATAATGAATGTATTTGCATTTAGAATCTCCAGCATGTTTCTAGTATTTCTTTGAATGTCTTTGACTTTGAGGGGCTTCCCCCACCTTCCAACTAACAATCATAAACCACTACTTTCTGACTTCTTAATATAGCTCAGCTCAGCTATTTTTTCCCTGCTTTTCTTCACCTGGTTCTTGTTCATCCTTCAATATTCAGTTAGATGTCATCTTGCCCTAACCTTTTTCCATAGTGGATCCCAGTACTCCTTCTCTGTGCCCCTTTAGTGCCTTGTCATTCCACAAATATCCGTTAACTATCTACCATGCCCTGGGCATTATTCTAGTCAATGGGGATTCAACAGTGAGCAAAACAGACAAAGGAGAGACCAACAATAAACTATACATGTAATAAATAATAAATTGTATTGCATGATAGAAGGTGATGAATGTTATGGAAAAAATGAACAAGTAGACCTGGTCTGGGGATGGCAGCTCCAGCGGGGGCCGCTGCGGTAGGACACTGAGGAGAAGGTGTGACCCTCACAGGGTGGTCAGAGCCTTTGGAAGGTGAGACATGAGGCAAGACCGAGGGTACAGCAAGCACAGGGCCCCTAGAGCAGGAGTGTGCCTGCGATTTTGAAGAACAGGGAGACCAGTGTGGCTGGAGCAGAGTAAGCAAGGATGAGACTAAACAGGGGCCAGACCATGTGAGGACGTGGGGCTTTAGTCTGGGTGCGAGCGGGAGCTGCCTGAGGGGTTGAAGATGTCATGATTTGGCCGCTGTGTTGAGAAGAGCTCAAAATGGGTAAGGAGGGCCTCTGGAAGCCCTCATAAGAGGCTCTTCCTGCCATCCAGGTGAGAGAGGACGGCAGTGGAGACTAACGGGGGACAGAAGAGGTGAGAGCTAAACATATTTTGAAGATGGAGTCAGTAGGATTTCCTGGTGAATCAGGTTAGAGTCAAGGATGACATGACATTAGCTGTTTATGGGTCTCGTACCCCACTAGCCTGTGACTCCTCAAGGGCAAGGACAGTATTTTATCTCCCTGTCCCAGCCCTCACATGGGGCCTGGCACTCAGTGGGCTACTTCATGCAAATTAGACCGAACCTTGAGTTGTTGCCTAATAGCCAGCTATGAATAAACCATGACAAAATAAGTAACATTTGTCTTTGGGACCCTCCCACCTTCCTTGTCTGTGTTCCTTGTGACCCTGTACCCCTGTCATGGCTCTGGCACTCTCTTGGGGTGCCTGGTGGGTTGGGTATTGCACATTTTGGCATATTGCATGTTTCGACATTTCTCATAGATCCAACCTTCTCCAAGCAGTGCCTTATGTCCTGTAATTCTCCTCCCCCCAGCCCCCTTAAACTTAAACCAGACCCTCTAAAGTAGAGCCAAAGAGGGTGCCTGGCAGTGCTGAGCTCTACTCTTTTATGGCTCTCACCGGAGAAAGTGTCAGCCTGAAGGATCCCAACAAGGCAGGTGTATGAGCCTTGCTGAGCCCAGAGGGCAGAGAGACTGGAGGACCAAGCTGAGGATGAGAGGTAGGAGGAGCAGGAAACCTGGAAACCAGGCCTGGAGTGAGGGCTAGAGCCAGAGACAGCAGGGGAAACAAAGCAGAGCAAACTTGGAAAGGAAAAACAGAGCAGGACAAGTCCTAGTGGATTCAGATCACCATATTCCTTTTCTTGAGTCGAGTCTGGGGTGCCCCCTCTGGGTTGAGGGTAGGGTCTCAAAGTAACTTAGAACATCCCCTCCCTCACCAAAGCATCACTCTCTTTGTGCTTTACTCTCTAGTTAGGACAATGATCCTGTAAATTAACTCACACAAAGATGTGAATTCAGTCATTTGATGAATATTTAGGAAGAAACTACCAAGAAAGACGTGATCCCTGCCCTTATGGAGGCTTCCAATTGGGGAAATCTGGTAAAGGAGGGAAAAGGAGCAAAAATACACCCTGGTCCTTCCTCTCATCTCCACTGTGCACATCCCTGTCATGGGCACTGTCCAATAAGAAGGGGCTGGAAATCAATTTTCCCTTCAATTCTGAAATACCTCGAGACCCAACTGAGATATTTTTGAAAATGCTCCTTTAGTTTTCAAAAATTAGATGCCATGGGGCCCCTGTGGATTGAAATGAAGCAGAAATTCTCTAGTGTCAGCAAAGGCGGGACAAACACAGGTACGTGGACAGAATTAGAGTTAAATTGTTACAAGACATCCTCTCAACTGAGCACGTGTAGTATTTTATGTTCATTGAAGGATAGCCAGTGCTTATTCTAGTATTGAGTACAACGGACCTCCGTATCAATGGGTTCTGCGTTCGCAGATTCAACCAACTGTGGATGGTGAGTATCCAGAAAAATAATTTTGCATTTGTACTGAACCTGTACAGACTTTTTAAAAATCATTATTCCCTAAACAATGCAGTATAATAACTATTTACAAAGCATTTACATTGTATTATGTATTATAATTAATCTAGAGATGATTTAAGGTATATGGGAGGATGTGTGTAAGTTATATGTGAATACCATTCTATAGCAGGGACTTGAGCATTCTCGGGTTTTGGTATCCATGGGGGTCCTGGAACCACCCCCCCAGAGACACGGAAGGAGGGCTATATTTTAATAACAATAATTGTGTGCACTTCATGCTGAGCCCTGACTGAAGCACTTTACTTCTCACTTCATTCTCACTAAACCGTATAAAATAGGTATTTTTAAACCCCATCTGTACAAAGGAAAAAAACAGGGTTGTAGACTTTAACTGGTCAACTATGGTAAGGGGCGGAGTGGAAATTTAGACCCAAATCTGCTTCTAAAGCCCGTATTTTCAACCATAATATTCATGTGTGAATGTCTGAGTTTTAAATTATTAAAAAGAAAACTTTCAAAAGAGGGAGAGTGAAGCTCTATCGAGAGATCAGGAAGAGAAGATGATCCTTTGCAGAACGTGAACAGCAAGGTTAGGACAAAGCCATGTTAGAAAGTGTAGATTCTCTGAATATTTCTAAAGATGAGATAACACTGGAGCTCTGACAGACACAATAGGATTTACTACTCAGAAAAATGGATTTTTCTCCTCATGAAGTCCCGAAGTAATCCTTAGAATTATTAAACACCAAGTAGGAAACAAATTAATAAAAGACAATGGAAAATAACAAAGGGTTCTACAAAATTGTTACGGAGAGGAGAGAAACACTGATCAAATTGGGGAAGGAAGACAACTGAATTGTGGCTGCATAAAGCCCCAGGGGTCACCTCATTTGGACAACGGGCAGGGAGGAGACATGTAGATAGTCCAGAAAGTCAAAACTATACTTTTCTGAAAAGAGAAGCCACAGATCACATATCAGCCCAGCAGCCCTAGTTGCCTAGAGTTCTTTCCTTCACGGCCCTCATGCTTAAATTTAAGGAACCCTGGGCTGGCAGCATCTTACAATGGGGTGCCCTGAACTGAAGAAAATCCAGCAATGTGCAATTTTTGATGGCTTTGAGATGAGTCTAGAGTCCTGTGAAGCAGCTAAGAGGAATCAGAGTGGTCTCACCCAGCTTTTAATTATCCAGGTTGATTGAGAATCATTCATTGGCCAAGACTGTGCTATTATCGTGTGTCAGTTCCATTGCTAAAACCTTGTAATTTTTCTGCTCATGTGTGATGCAGTTAAATATTTATTTTTATTCTAAATTGTCCCACGGAGATGGGCCCATGATCAAACCCTCCATGTGGCCCCTATAACTAGCTCTTTATGCACTGAGTTGATAGCCAAGCATAGAGAAATCTGATCTGAAAGAGTTTCCACCTGAAGATCTGAGTTTGACCAGAAAACGATTTGAGTTTAATGAGATTTTGGTGAATCTACTTCATTTTTCTTTCCTAAGTTATAGAGGTAACTTATACTTTGGAACTGGACTATTAATTTTTTTTAAAGGCTTTTTATATTTCTCTAGAAACCACTGGGTACACTAACTTTTATAAACTCACCTTTCTCAAAAAGACTTCTGTATCCTGAGCTCTAAGGAAGTGATACACCAAGCGTGAAGTCACATTATTGCTGCTTTAATGGTTTTTTATTAAGCAATGGACACAGTCATGGCAACACTGCATTAAAGATTTGACTCTGAGGTTTAGCATCAAATGCTTTACTTAGGAGATGTAACCTACTAAATGAACTCAAATTGAGCTGAATAAGGATTGGCGCATTTGGAAACTAGTGGAAACATGACTAATGAATGAGTCGAGGCAGAACTGCCAATCAGAAGAGAAAAGCAGAGGCCTGCACACGTTGTCTTATGCCTATTCCTAATTAATGTTCTGTACAAGGAAGGAAGCAGCCTGTTAACAAAATCTAATTATGATACTGAATCGAGAGATGCTGTCAATACCAGGCAGGGGGGAAGATGAACTTCTGGATAGGATATTATTAGATGATATCCAGTTTGGTTAAATGTGAGCTAATACCTCTGGGAGATATTAAGCTCATGTACCAAATTAGAGCATGACATGTGAACTATTGTAAAACAACAAATTAAAATCTGAGACCATGGCAGACAAAGAGAACTATACAAGGTTAAGCTTGTCCCCATCCTCCATCCTGGTCTTGGCTCTCATCCTTCATGCCTGCATCAAAGCAGCCGGTGTCCTATCTGCCTCCTACCCTAGGTCTAAGCATTCACCTCTCTGATCCAGGCTGGCTTGAGACATGTCTGGGCCCAATCCTGGCATCTCTTCTGTTCTATGTGCATCCTTACTCCACCAGTGATCTCAACCAGTCTCATGGTTTTAAATACTAGCTAAAGGCTGATGACCCTCAATTTATATCTCTGACTCAGACCACTTCTCTGAACTTCTTAGATACTTGGATGTGTATCTCCACTTAGATGCCCAACATGCATCTCAAACTTAGCATGTCTAAAATTGAAACTCTTATCTCCCCTGCACTCCTGGTCTTCCTCATCTCAATTAACATAAACACAACCTTTCAAGTTGCTGAAGGCAAAACTCTTGAAATCACCTTTGATGCCTCTTTATCACTCCTCATCTAATCAGCAAATCCTCTTGGCTGCATTCAAAATAGACCCTGAACCTGACCATTTCCCATTCAAGCCATAATTATCTGTCAACTGCATTATTGGAGAGGCTTCTTAACAGATCCCCCTATTTCCTCTTTTATCTCCTACAGTCTCTGTGAAAAATAGCAGCCAGAGTGGTCGTGTTATTCTATCAGTCAGATCATGTATTTTTTAATGCAAAAATCTGTTGAGTATATTTTCAGATTATCTCACTACCTCTTTTTCCCTGTGCAGCCTCCTCATGCGTTTAGAAGTATTCTGCAGCATTAAAATGTTGTGAAGTCACACAATTCACTCATATTCCAACTCAGACATGCAAAAATTTATTTCCTCTGTCTTGCTTAAACCAATCTGGTCTTCCCAATTTGTGGTTAGTGCAGAAATTTTTAACTTTTAGCCCTATCTTTTTAAAAGCCTAGTCTGATCTAATAATGAAAACAGTCTCTTTAGACAATGCTAAGTCTCTCTGTGACATGAAAGTGTATATTTCAAGACAGCCAGAAAAGAGGAAATTGAGTGCTATAATCACAAAGAAATGATAAAGGGTTAGGTGATAGATAGGCTAACTATTCTAATTAAAACATTATATAATACATACATGTGTTGCAACAACAAATTATACCCCGTAAACAAGTGCAATGAAAAAGATAAAATAAAAATTAAAAAAAAAAATAGAGAAAGAATAGAAAGTCTCAGCCTCAACTTCTTTGCCTTCTTGGAAAAATGAGATTTCTTCTATGATACGAACCCTCTGGGCTTGGTCGTTGATACGCTATATGTGAGTTATAGAATAATTTCAGAAAACCTTGAGTGAAAGCAGAACCCAGATTTCAAGCTTATAATCATTATGCAAAATCCTATTTTGCCTGTCAGAAAATCTGGTAGTCATTATTGCTATTCACCAAATAATTACTGTTTTCCTCCCAAGAATATGGTAGAATTGCATAGCTCTGCCCCTTTGAAGTCAGGTTTGGCCAGGGATTTGCTCTGGACAATGAAATTTTAATCAGTAGGTGATTTTTCTTTCTCTCTTTCTGCCACATAGTAGCTGCTTTGTCAGTCCAAGTCCCAGAATGCAGACAAAATGGATTCTCATATAATACGAGCAGGAAATAAATTTGTGTTGTGTTAAGCCATTGAGATTTAGGAGTTTTAGGAACTATGGCCCATCCTAACACGGAAGCTGACATGCAATCCCTTCTGTGGCAAATAATAATTTCCTTCCATGTATGTGGGTTCCTCAGCCAATTTAAGCCAATGTGTAATTAGAACGGCAAAATAGAAAAACGCTCTAATAAATTTCAAAATGAATTCCTGTTACAAGTATTTCTCCCAACCATTTTCCCTTCTGCATTTCAGATGAAGATCTTTGACAAAAATAAAGATGGTCGGTTGGATCTTAATGACTTGGCAAGGTGAGTAGCGTGGAAATGATCGAGTGACAGAGGGCACGACAGTGATTGAGGAAGCAGTTACAGGCTGAAGGGCAGCAGCAGGTGTAGCTGGCAGAGAGGAATTCCAAGGACTGAGGGCAGGCTTTCAATGATGAGCATTAACTCAACAATGGCACAAGCAGATGTTAGTTTTGTCTCTTAGTGGACATTAGCCTGAGTCCAGAATCACCAAATCCTGCACCAGCTGCCTCCTTTCTTGGCAGCTACCTCTGCCAGGTTTTGAAGGATATCTGCAAAAGGGGACGCACAGGGAAGAATTTCTCTCCAGTAGCGACCAGAACATTGACCCCAGCACACTACATGGTTTCTACCTGTGCCTTGTAGTAGCTGTGAGGCAGCCTGTGTGCCCTCCTTGGCCACTTCCCCAGGACCCTTTGGCCACTTTGATGAAGAAGAGGCACAGGAGACCAGCCAAAGAGGGACAAAAGTGTTTTTCCCAAAAGTCTAGGGCAGAAGCGATCTTGGCTCCATAGTGTTCCCTGGATCCCACCTGGTTCTCTTGGCCAACAAGGCAGGGTTCCTCTCAAGTAGGGGTGAGAGAGCTGTGCAATCTTAGGAAGGAAACCCAAAGCATCGCAAAGATGCATTCAAAAGATGGTAATCTGGGTGAAAACAAGAGCTTTTAATCTCCTTGCTCCTCACACCAAAAGCACCCATCCACCTGGTACCCTGCCTCCACAGTGTGATTCTCAGAGGTGGTGAGAATAGAAGAGCCTCAAGCACTCATGGAGGCTGCAGTGTGTTACCATCAGTAAAGGTCCCAGAGCAGCTGCTGTCTACCCTGTCAGTCCCAACACTCTTGTTTACTACTGAAATAAAATCCACAGACAGGATAACCTGCCTATGCACATAACACTAAAATAGTATCATGCACAGACTATAACATATGAAGGAGAAATAAAAGGAAAGCTGTTAATAATAAAATAACACATATTTCAGTGCATAAGTGCTTGGATACAACCATAGTGAAGACATAATGAAGTGGTCAGATACTAGCACCTGGTACGGACTCACCAGGAATATGGCAGCTCAGGTGCTGACTTAGACAAGTGTGGCCTTTGGCAATTCATGTATCAGGAGCTCAATTGCTGTTGATATGATTTGACAAAAATAATAAATAAATCTTGGTAGAGTTCCAAATGAAACAAAGTACATTCATCCCTCAGTGCAATTCAGTATACCATATGGAATATTGATGTGATTAGTATATCATGTATACCTTGCAAAAATACCATAGGTTTTTATGTTCATAAGAATTCAGTTCCAGGCTCAGATAATTATAAACAGGGTTTTTACATACATGATTGCCCCACTGGGCATTTGAAAATCAAGTAGGACATGGGACAATTCTTCATTCTGTGGAAATTTCCATGCAATGCAAGGCATCTAGCATCCCTGGCCCTATCTACAAAATGCCAGTTGTGTTCCCCCATCACTGTGATAACTAAAAATCCCCCCTTCATACATCCAAACACCACTTAGAGATCGTACTGCATGGTCCTACCTCTAGGGTAGGGACTATGCTTTAATCTCTTTAACAGTTTCTTACCCAGTGAAGTGTTAAGTGCACAGGAGGATTCAATGAGTAGTTGTGGATTGAAGGAGTTATCATAGCATTGAACAGAGAAGCAAGGCAGCAAAACAGTTAGTACATTATTTTAAAAGCAGTTTGATATGAAATTTGAAAATAACAACTGTGGTAGGCAGAATAAAGATGCCCACATCCTAAAATCTGGAACCAGTAAATATTTTATGTTACATGGCAAGGATGAATTAAATTTACGGATAGAATTAAGGTTGCTAATCAATAGACCTAAAATACAGAGATTATTCTGGATTATCTGGGTAGACCCAATGTAATAAGAAGGGCCCTTTTAATGTGAAAGAGGGAGGCAGAAGGTCAGAGTGGTTTGAAAATGTTACACTGCTGAGTTTGAAGTGGAGGAAGGGGCCAGGAGCCAAAGAATGCAGGCAGCCTCTAGAAGCTGAAAAAGACAAGGGAAGGGATTTTCCCCGAGAGCTTCCAGAAGGAATGCAGCCCTGTAAACACCTTGATTTTTGCCCAGTGAGTTCTATTTCAGACGTTGATTTTCAGGACTATAAATTATTACAGTTGTTTTAAGCCACTATATCTGTGACAATTTATTACAGCAGCTCTAGGAAACTAATACAACAACAAAGAGATCTTAAAACATGTACACATAGAAATTTTTTTCTGTGCTTCCAGTTCTGAAACACAGCTCAATTACTCCACATGAAAGCACTTCCCAGGTATATGTCCTCTGATTGGCAGCATGACTTGGACTGCCTTGTGCCAACAAATAGGGAGGACAGTATTCTTTGCAGACTCCCAAGATATTGTATTTTCTAATTGGCTCAAATTAATTCTTTCTATCCTGGGCATTCAGAGCAGCAAAATTTTCCAAACAAGGCATATAGTTGTACATTTTTTTTCTTCTTTTCCCTATATATGCCCATGATTATGAATACAACATAAATCTAATGTTTTAGTCTTTTGAAACTGACTCTATTCCATTAAAATGCAATTATAATTATACAGAAAAAAGACAGAAATGTTTTCTTTCTAAAACAAAAACAAGATAAATTTTTTATTGAGATATAACTTACATGCAATAAAGTTACTTTTTTAAGTGTACCATTCAGTAGATTTTAGTATATTCATAAGGTTGTTCAATCATCATCACTGTCTAATTCCAGAACATTTCATTATGCCAGAAAGATGCCCAGTAACCATTAGTAGTTTCTCCCCTTTCCCTCCTCCCACAAACCTCTGGCAACCACTAACCTAGTTTCTATACAGCTCTATGGATTTTTCTGCACATTTCATATAAATGGAATCATACACTATGTACCTTTCATGTCTGGCTATTTCACCTAGCATAATGTTTTCAAGTTTCATCCATGTTGTAACATGATCCGTAATTCTTTTTATGGCTGAATAATATTCCATTGTATGCATATACCATGTTTTCTTCATTCATCAGTTGATGTACATTTGGGTTGTTCCTACTTTTTAGATATTATAAATAATGCTGCTATGAACATCTCTGTACAAGTTTTTGTGTGAATACATGTTTTTGTATTGATTTATTTTTTTCGGTGGCTGGCCGGCATAGGGAACTGAACCCTTGAGTGTTTTTGATTCTCTTGTTATAAACCGAGGCATGGAATTTTTGGCCCATATGGTAATTCTATGTTTAATTTTCTGAGGAACTGCCAAACTGTTTCCAAAGTGGCTGTACCATTTTATATTCCCACCAACAATGTATGAGGGTTCCAATTTTTCCACATTCTAGTTGGTATGTGTTATTGTTTACATCTTTTTGATTATAGGAATCCTAGTGGTGTGAAGTGGTATCTCATTGTGATTTTGATTTGTATTTCCCTGATGACTAATGATTTTGAGCATATTTTAATGTGCTTACTGGCCATTTTTATATCTTCTTCAGATAAATTTCTATTTATATCTTTTGCTCATTTAAAAAATGGGGTTATTAGTCCTTTTATTGTTGAATTTTAAGAGTTCTTTATATATTCTGGATACTAGGTCCTTATCAGATATATGATCAGTAAACATTTTTTTCCCATTCTGTGGGTTGCATTTTCATTTTCTTGATAGCATCCTTTGAAACACAAAAGATTTTAATTTTCATGAAGTCTGACTTACCTAGTATGCTTTGGTTGTCTGTGTTTTAAGCGTCATATCTAGGAAGTCATTGCCAAAATCCAGGCTCCTGAAGATTTACCCCTATGTTTCCTTCTAAGACTTTTATAGTTTCTATTTTATATTTTGATCTTTGATTTTTAATTGTGTTAATTTTCTTATATGGTATAAGTTGGTAGTCCAATTTCATCCTTTTGCATATGAATATCTATTTGTCCCCACACCATTTCTTAAAAAGACTATTTGTTCCTCACTGAATGGTTTTGGCACCTTTGTCAAAAATCAATTGACCATAATGCACGGGTTTATTTCTAGAATCTCAATTCTACTTCATTTATCAACATGTCTATCCTGATGTCAGTACCACAGTGTCTTGATTACTGTAAATTTGTAGCAATTTTTGAAAGCAAAAGTGTGAGTCTTTCAAGTTTATTCTTCTTTTTCAAGATTCTTTTGGTTGTTCTGGGTCCTTTGCATATGCACATGAATTTTAGAATCAGATTGTCAATTTGTGCAAAAAGCCAACTGATATTTTGATGAAGATTGTTTTGAATATGTAGATCAGTTTGGGGAGTATTGTCATCTCAACAATATTAAATCTTCCAATTTATGAACGTGGGATGTCTTTCCATTTACTTAGGTATTCTTTAATTTCTTTCAACAATGTTTTGTAGTTTTCAGTCTACAAGTCACTATATATAGTGACCTTTCATTTCAGCCTGAAAGACTCCTTTAGTATTTCTTTCTTATAGGACATGTTTGTTGTTGTTGATGATTTTTTGTTGTTGTTGTTTGTTTAGTGACTTTTCTGAACTAATTCTGTAAAGTCTATATTGTTTGTTATGTGTGTCCACCAAAGTCTGTGCTTGGTTAGCTCAGTGGTCAGTTCATGATTGGACAGAGATTTTCTTAAATGACTGGAACCAGTAAGTCTCCCAGTCTTTGCTAAGGGGCTCTGTGTATGTGTTGGGGCAAATTAAAACACCATAACATTCATTGTTCTTACCAAGATTCAGATTTTTATTCAGAATAAACACTCCCAGATTGTTGTAGGACTTCAATTATTTTCCAGAGTTCTGAAAAAGTTATTTTGACCATTTTGTACAGTTTTTGTATTGCTTTCATGGAGGAGAGAATTTTCAGGAGCCCATACTTAGCCATTTTCCACCAAGATGAATTTTTAAAAGTCTCTCTTTATAGTGATTACTAATCTCCATGAAAGTCTTTCCCAATTAATTTCTTTGCTCCTATGATGTAGAAATTCCTATATTTCAAGCACCTATCCTGTTCTGCAGGATAATCTGGAAATTACTTATCCTTTCCTCACACCAGGGCTATGAATTTACTTATAGGTGACAGCTGACAGATCATCATGTGGATTTTTTTTCCCCCCATTTAGGATTCTGGCTCTTCAGGAAAACTTCCTTCTCCAATTTAAAATGGATGTAAGTAGTGACATTTTTCTAGAGGGATTTATGTCATTCCTGTTTCTCTATAGATTTGAGAAGGAGAGAAGAAAGGAAGGCATCTATCGCTCCTACTTTTTAACTTATTTAGAGACCGATGGGTCAGAGTGGAATCAAGGGTTGTTAAGGGTCATTGATTCAAAGTGTATAAAAATCGCCCAAGCCCCTGGAAGAGATTTACAACTGAAGTTTCACAGTGCTAGATTGACATAATGTTTTCTCTATACACAGGCTTGTTCAACTGAAGAAAGGAAGAGAGACTTTGAGAAAATCTTTGCCCACTATGATGTTGTAAGTGTGCCTTTTTTATTGAGCTGGCCATCTTTGGGTAGGACATTTGTTTAGCCCCCATGTGGGGTCATCCTACCCTCAACTTATATGGTGAATGACAATCTTGCACATGTGTTGCTATGTCAAGGCACCCTCAGTTTCTCTATATAACTTCTGAGAATTAAGTAAAAATGGCCACACGAGTATTTATGGCTGAGAAGAGAATAAAATAAATCACTTTTTTTTTTTTTTGCTCCTTGTATCCAAACTAAGAGGTTTCTCCTTCTTGTAGGACTACAAGTTCGTTTATAATAGTATGCTTAAAAGCAAACAGAACAAAAAATCTCCCACATCCAACCCCCCCAAATAGAGGCAAAGTCATATCTATTTGGCATAAAAACCATTTCTCTTACAGGACCAATTATTTGGTTTTTCTTTAGAGGGGAGAAAATAATAATTCTAAAGCACAAAGTATGGCAAAAAGATTGCATTTTGAGGATAAGGTAGGATAATGCAAAAAAGGAAAAAAAGACAAGCAGAAAGTTGGGAAAGTTCACAAGACATGTCTCCCTGAAAATAATCAGACTGGATATCTCTGTGTCATATTCTGAGCAGAAAAGATTATCACCTGGGAGAGGCAGCATAATTTAGTGGTTATGTATGTGACCTCCATGACCAACTACTTAGGTTTGAATCGTGGTTTAGAAGCCATGTGGCCTTGGGCAGTTTCCTTAACCCCCCTGTACTATGTTTTCCTTATCTGTAAAATCAGGGTGATAAGGATAATAATAATACCTACCTCATGGAGTGGTTATGAGAATTAAATGAATTCATGCTTATAAAGATTTGATGAGAGTGCCTAGCAAGTACTATATGTGTTTGGTAAATATACTAAGGGAATGAAATTTTTAAAATGATATGTTAAAGTTTCAGGATTAAGAAAACATGAAGAGAATGGATGAACTGTCATAGGTGAAACTTTATAGAAGAAACTGAAATATTTAAATATGTATTATACTTTATAACCATGTATGTTTACATGAGTTATAAAATGAGTAGGAAAAAATGAAGGGTCTTACGTACAGACCAAATGATATTTCTAATATGCTCATTCAATACAGCCTCCCTTGATTTAAAATCTATGTTTTAATAAGTCATTGCTAAGTCATAAAGCAAAATTTAAAAAATTTTAACCTATCTTTCGAAGAATCAGTATGATGTGCACACTTGTCTGAGCTGAAGCCTTGTATTTGGGAAGCAAATAAAGTCAGTATGTATCACGTTAATGCTATTTGCAAGAGCCACGGAACTCAAAACTATTATTCTCATTTGGTTATACGGAGATATTTCTTATGAATTAGTTTAATTCATTCACATTCTGTATGGAGAACATAAATTGGAACATGCCATTTCTAAATCTGTTTGCAGTCACAAAAGAATACTGATTTGGTCTATTTGTCTAATTTATTCTTTATGTTTTTGCCTTAAGAAAAGGATATTTGGGTGATTGGATCTTTTATCTTTCAGAGTAAAACTGGAGCCCTAGAAGGCCCAGAAGTGGACGGGTTTGTCAAAGACATGATGGAGCTTGTCCAGGTGATTTCATGAGATTTTGTAGATTATTCCCATAATGGATTGGGGTTGCCATTTTGATTGACTCTGTTGCTTATTTGTGGGAATCGGTGGGGCAGAAAATTAATGCTGGAGAGAAAATCTAGGGATGTAGTCTATTTCATAACCTTTGAGCTTCTGTGATATACAACACATTTCTCTTGCTTTCTTAACATTGTTCGTTGTTTAAATTACATGAAGCCACCCTAGAAACATCTTTTTACCATTATTTAAAGGCCAACTATTTTGCCAAAAGAGCTCAGCACCACTGTATATCTTACTGTTTTACTTTTTGACTACAGAAAGTCCTTTTCCCCCTGGACTTCTTGTTTGTTAGAATAACTAAAAGTTTAGATTTAATTTCTTTTAATAAATCTAATATTTAGGATTCTATTTTTTTTTAACCAAGGAGATTCTCTAACACCTAGCCTAAAATAGTTACTTATATGTTAAGACATCACCGTGGTTGGAGGTGATGCAATTTAGATTATTTGAGTATTTACATTTCATAGTTGTTTTATATAATATAGACAATGTTTAAAAAAGCAATGTCCTTTGAGATACTGGTGAACTACACTGACTGGCTGCATGATTCAATTAAGCAGATAATTTCCAACTCTTTCCTTTCCAAGGGACCATGTAAACAATGAGTACTAGTCTTACATCCTTAGGGAGTTTTTAAGGTTTGTTCGGGATACAATGATTCTGTCCTGGTCAGCCCAGATGGTAACAAAATAGAGTAGAAATTATTGACTGTTTCTGGAGTCTCAGACCTCTTTGAAAACCTGATTAAAACTATGGAGAAAAGTGTCCAGATATCAATTTTTGCATAAATCTTCAGGAAGTTCACATATTATGACTGAGCATGGACAAGGTTCTTTCTGAAGTTTAATCAGCATAACTGAGATGTCTTCTGCCACTCCTAACTTTTATTATTCCCATTCCAACTGGTCCCTTGCCTCTTTTTCCCCCCCTTCACTTGTTGATACTGTTGGAAATTTTGTAGGCATTTGCACAGCCAAAATAATGGAAGGATGTTGGTGTGGTATTGCATTTTACATTGATTGCTGAAGGAAACTCCCATTTTACTCATTATTTAATGCCAGAATGACTTCTGTAATAGAAATGGAGCAATTATCTATGGGACACTATAGTTGATGGCAGAAAGACTTGCCAAACTGGAGTCTTAATTTGCTTTTGATAGAATGAATGGGATGGTGAGCCTACTTTGAGAGCTGCCTAGTTTCCTCTGTGCAGTGGTGCTGCAGCCAGTGGCTACCTGAGTGTAGAGCCTGGGGGCTTCAGATCCTCACAGGCCTCCAGGCAGAGGGTCTGGCCTCCTGCTCCTCCCCATCATCTGCACACACAGCTGAGCAGTGAGTGTGGACTCCCAGCCAAAGTGCAGAGTAAGCAATCATCATTAACCAAATGCATCTGCCTTCTTTGCTATCCCTTTAGTTTTATTTCAAACTTGTGGGAAACACAGTTTTCCTGGGTCTGAGGTGTTATTTGTTACTGAAAAACTCTTCTGGATCCCACATCTTTGCCAGGTTGTGGAAGGCAACTGGACAGGGCTGAGGGATTGGGCTCTGCTTGGAATCCATGTGATGCACAGAATTTGGAACAGTGGCTTCCAGAGGGGCCACTGGGGTGGCAGTGGCTGCTCCTCTTCCTCTTTTGGAATCTCATTTTTGTTTTCTTCTCTTCTTTCTCTTGTCCCTTTCTACAAAAAGAACAGATTGGAAACTTTTTGCAGATGAGGCAGTGTATAGTGGTGGATAGTGATTTGTGGTCTGACAGATCGAGCTTTAAGTCCAGATCAGCCATTTATTCAACTATATGTCTATGAGTAGGTTACTCAGCCTCTCTGATACCTGTCTCCTCATCCATAAAATGGGCACAATAATATCAACTTCCCAAAGTGTGTGATGACCAGGAATAATATAGACTCCTATCATAGTCCCTGGGATATAGTATGATTTCTAAAAATAATAGTCTTAATTATTTCATTAAGACAAAGCTACTGTAATCTTTATTAATTATTTCATTAAGACAAAGCTACTGTAATCTTTAGAGTACATTTCTGAGCTTGGGAATAGTCAGCATTTGAGAGGAAATTTCATAAAAGCAGCCTAATGCATGGCCGTGCCATTCTAATGGATAATCCTGACCAAAATAATAATGTAAAAGAAGCCAGTGCAAAAGAGCTTCCAAAACACAGGCATGATTATGTCCGAAGGCAATTAACTTACATATTTTAATAGCATTAAATTTGTTTACTGTCTTTTCTGATTATAAAATTATCTCTGCAAATTGCAAAAAAGGTATTAAAGATAAAGTCAGGTAAAAGTGAAGAAGCTGATAAGAACTCAGGCTAAGAATTCAGGTTCTAGGCTGACCACCCTGAGTTCCAGGCCTGGTTTTACCACTGACTGGCGATGCAACCCTGGGCAAGTCATTTATTATCTCCAAACCTCAGCTCCCTCATCTGGAAGATGAGAATTGTCAGAGATCCTACTTCCATAAAATTGTCCTGAAGATTATAGGAGAAAATCTACATAAGGCAATTAATTTTGTGCTACTTCACTAATTATTATCTATAATAATAAGTTATTACTGAGAGCTCAAAAAATATTAGCTGTTGTTATGACTATATCACAAATTGATCTAGAAACTGACATGGTTCTCTTACATAGCTCTAGTTACTATGATCTTTGCTGTATTCATATGATTTTTCTATGATTTTTCCCAGATGTCTATATCCAGTGCAATTTTGCGAGATTCCTTCTTAAAATTAATCACTTTTGAATCTGGATAATCATAATAATTTTCAATGATTCTGCCTTTTAATTGTCACTGAATTTGGCAATGGTTTTCAAAAGACAATAAGAGAAGATGGAAATAGAATCCAAACCAACAACAGAGTAGACAAGACATTTTTCCAGAGAAAATTAAAGAGAAGGGAAAAATTCTAGACCATCTAAAAAGATTAGTTGGAAGCAGGGGTAAGCCTCACTCTTCAAAGGAGAGGAGTGAGCCTCCACTCTTCTTGGAGGCCTCATACCACCTCCATGAGAAATCAGAAGATCCCCACTACTTTTGTTTCTGCCTCTCTATTTCTGTGGAGCTGCTGGTCAACAAAAAGGCACCTCTCAATGTAAACACGAGCCAGTGTGATACAGAGCTAATTTCTAAGGACTGAGTCAGACTATGGTCAGTAATACAAAATAGATTTAAAGGGCTTCCCAGATGATTTGTTGAGTTAAAAAGTATGTACGTGGTAGTTGATTATTAATGTTCTCCTATGAAACCAGATAATTGAGGGTGCATACTTTTATTATATCTTTCTTAGTCTTTATTGGGTCTTGGTATTTTAGGTTTCTTAAAAAACATTCACCACGTAATTGGATGGATGTTGTCAAGGGATGACCATTACCTGAATCTGACATTTCTTTGCTTCATAAAGAGTCCTCTACCATGACCTTTTCTTTATTCTCATTTTATAAAAAAGATCCAGGGGGCAATTAAACATACCAATATCTGGAATTTATTTTAAAAGCAACTATCAGAGCATGCTTGGGGTAAGCAGGCAACTAGCCCAGTTTCTAAGTTTACAGTCCTGAGTCAAGGACCGTGATGTTTGCAGTAATAACCCTAAAGTAAGCTCATTTTATAGTCTTTTAATTCTTGGACAACCATGCATGATGCATATGTTAACTTTGTATTGACAAGATTATTTGGTTACCAGAAAACCCCATTTCCCAAGCTCTGGAAAATGGTACCCAAGTCTGTTCTCTGTCAGTCTGACAAGACAGCAAGTCCCTGAGGGAACAGACACAATTTCTTTTTACAAAAACCAATTTATTAAGATATCGCTGATATCATAAAAGAGCTGTAGATATTTAATGGATACAATTTGATGTGTTTGGAGATAAGTGTACATCCATGAAACCATCATCACAATCAATGCCAAACATGGATACATCAGCTGCAAAAGTTTTTGCAGCCCCCTCCCCACTTTTTGTTCTTGTTTTGTTTTTCCTTTTGTGGTAAGAGCAGTTAATGTAACATCTACCCTTGTAGCAAATTTTTAAGTATACAATATTGTTAATCTTGATGCAGAGTAATTTCTGCACAAGATCTTTTAAGAGCCTATAGCTTACTCAGCACAGCATAAAAATCAACACAAGATTCTACAACTTACACTAGAAAGTGGAAAGGTAAGAAATTCATGATCTCCAGAGGAGAAATAGAAATGTGAACAGTGACATTAAAAGCCAAATAAATAGGCCACCAGAGATGATCTGGATTTCTTCCTGTAGATGGTGAGTTCCCACCCCCAGGCCTCCCTAAAGGTCTTTCTCTTCCCCGACAGACACCCCATCTGCTTTTCCCTGTTATTGACAGGAAGGTGGTGGGTAAGAGGGGATAATGCCTAACTTAAAGGATTGAATCTAACATATGCCCCTCCAAAGATCTAGCCCTTAGCATAAATATTTCTTTCCACTTTTTAAATTGTAAAAATAATAAATACATCATAGAGAAATCTGAAAAGAGAGAAAAGAAAAACAGAAGCACAATCTGTACACTCTAACAGACTCAGTATGAACTGATGTCTCTCCTATGTATATTTTGTAAATAGTTGAGATTATAGATAAGCATTTCCCAGTAATAGTCATTCAGTGACCATATCATATTTCACCTGTGGTTGGATCATAATTTACCCAAACATTCCCCTATTGCTAGTAATTCAGATTGTTTCTCATGTCTGTGATTCAGAACAATACTGGAATGAATATCCTTGTGCATAAATCTTTCTCTGTATTTGGCCTTTTCCCAGGAATAGAATTACTAAGTCAAGGGGTTTGTACACTTTAAAATTCCTGGCATCCACTGTCAAACTTAGAGTGCCAAACTTTTGAAGAAAGAGCAAGTGTGCTTCCCCAGTTCTTTCTTTGATGTCCTTTCCTCCAACCCTACTTTTC